TACCCAGATTTTTGCCACCCCCTAAACCAGTTTGTGTTAGTCCAGTTAACAAGTCCTATGCGTGGTACCTGCCCTGGAGTGTGCTCAATATACCTGGAGTCAGTCCACTGAAGAAACCCGACTTTTTCCTTCCCAGAAGTAGTTAAATGTTGGTGTCTCCTCTGAGCCCTAGCAGAGACCCAAGCACTACTCCTCTGCTAATGATTGATTGCTATACCCATAGATCACCCTTCATCAGACAAGCTTCTTGCAGCAGATAATAACTAACAGAGAGATCCACAACTATCTAATGGGCAGAGAATAAGAGGCAGCAGAGTGCTTAACCTTAAATGAGATGTCCATATTGCATCTCTCCCCTCGTGGCTCAGGGATCTTTCCAAGAGCCAGAGGTGCTGAGTGACTTCAAGGAAACTGTTTTCTGGATGCTACAGGTAGAGGCACACAGAGCGCCCAGCATGCTTGAGACCAACTCAAGTACAAGCCAGACAAAACCCCAGCACAAGGAGAGGATGTGGGGACCACATCCCCCTCTAAATACTTTTACTATTTTTATCATATTTAAAAAGGCTTTATGTATTCATTTTTATTACCCTTTATACATTTACCAAATTTTGCCTATGCATTTTTTTTTTGCTGGCCAATCTCTCTTCTGTTCTCCCATATCACTACCCCTTTTCGTTTTTCTTTCTACTACACTTTTAGTAGTGTTTGAATACGTTGACAAAAAACAAAAACAAAAAACAACAACACCTCTCTCTTTCTCTTTGGTTTTTTGAGACAGGGTTTCTCTTTAATTTCTCTCTCTTTCTCTTTCTCTTTGGTTTTTTGAGACAGGGTTTCTCTTTAATTTCTCTCTCTTTCTCTTTCTCTTTGGTTTTTTGAGACAGGGTTTCTCTGTGTAGCCTGAAGATTTAACTGTATTATATGAATCATAGCAACAAAAAGACATGTTACTGATATATAAGTAGACAAGTAGAATATAATAGAAGGACCAGAAATAAATCTGCACAGCCATTGGCACCTAATCGTTGACAAAGACATCAAGAACATGCTCTGAAGAAGCATATATAGCAGAAGAGGAGCTGTGGGGTGTAAGGACTAAGAGACCTGCTCCAGCCCCTACCTAGGGTTCCAAAGGTGAAATGCTTCTCAGGAGCGAAGGAGGGGGTAAGAGATTTCTATAGTAACTTCACACATAATCCGAGGGCCATGCTCTTTATTTCATGTGCTCTTTATTGTTCTGTTTCTGCTCTACTAATCCTGTCCTACTTCTAACTTCTCCATGCTTTTTCTTCTAGATTCCTCTTCTATTCTAAAAACTCTTCTCATTGGTCAAAAGTGCATTCCCAGAGCAAGCAATAAGGAGCTGAGCTGTTTGTTTACCATGGTGACACAAGGTCCAGGGCTATAGAAGCAAAACCATGACCAGACAGGGAGGGCACAGTGCCCAATGATGACTTTAAGGCACAGATCTATTGTTACTAGACTGGCAAGTAATGAATAGGCATGCTTTAAGGTTAATGTGAGCTTAGCTTGGGACAGCACTTTCCTATCTGCTGCCAGAGAGAATCCGGGACACTCTTATTTTCTATCTCTCTTTAGACATGCCATAATTCTTGTCCTTGGGCATCTGTGAATGTCTCGATTGAGTCTCCTTGCCTGGACACTAACACTGACCAACTATCTGCCAAGGAAGATAATTGCAGAGGGGCAGACTTCTAAGTTTATACAAAGACCAGGTTGAGAATCAAGCATTGCTGGGGGGAGTCATCCAATATATCAATGTATAGAGGAAAATGTGCCCAGTAAATGATTAATACACTGCTGGAGTCTTTGGGATGAGTCCCACCATAGAAAGGGAGTGCTATGGCTTCACAAGGAATTTACAGTAAGGTTAGTGACTATTAATAAAGCAAGTACTCCCACTGCCCTGCATATGGGCCTCCTCCATCAGAATGTGTGATCCGGGTGGGTTAGCTCTGTGATTTTGTCAGCTGAGCTCTCACTGTATAATTCTGCAGTCCATAGCTGTGGGGAGAGCGACAGGTAAGGAAGGAGACAGAGGTTGTGGAGATAATTGAGGGAGGCCATTAGAAGAGAATATAAATAAAAGTATAATGGTATATATTTATGAAAATATTATAATGAAACCTATTTTTCTATATGCTAACCAAACAATAGTTTCCAGTAATTACCCCACTGCAGACAAAGATCCGCAGTTGCTCTACCAAACAGAACCCAAGCACACAAAGGAATCTATGTCATCTAAAAAGTACAGCTTTTAATGAAAAGCAATTATTTTAATAATGATGAAAAGGAACATAAATATCTTTAAAGGGTACTTTACACATCCTTGTAAAACGTGAAGGTAAAAGGAAGCTAGGAAAGCCAGGTGTGGTAGTGAACAACTGTATTCTACCAGCTGGGAGCTGAAGGAAGAGGGTTGTGAGTTCAGTGTCTGCCGAGGTTACAAACATAGCAAGACATTGTCTTCACAAAGAAAGAAAGAAAGAAACCACCTTTCCAAGAGTGGTAGGACAGTGGAAGAAATTTATCTTTCAGTAAATGTAGATGGAAGAAAGGAGAATAAAGAGAGCTCATGGGCTAGTTCTCTGGGACTCAATCAAAAGTGTTTTAGAAATGTTGACACCATTCATGCCACCCACACCCACAGACATACAAGGTTGTTGCAAAATAATGCCTCGTCAAATCAGTATGATATCTATTTGGGCACGATATATCCTTAGTTGTAGGATTTTTATTCGGTCTTTCAGAATTTCACAACTGTTTACTAGGTATTTTGATGATATCCACCTCCTTCTCCCTCTCCATCTCCTCCCAGGCCCTACCATGCCCCTCCCATGTAATGTCATCCCCCCAATCCCGTGTCTAATCACTATACATGTATATATGGCTACTTGTAGAATTTAAGGAAGGACTTTCATCCAGATCTCAGTGTGAGGAAACAGTATGTTTCTCCTAAGTGAGACTCACAATGAACTTGGAGTTCTCTTTCCCTTTGGCTACTAAGAATTTCAGAATAAAATTTAGTCATAGGGATTATATGGTGTTGCTTTATCATATTTTATTTTTCCTAAACTTATTTTCATTTTCCCTAATAACTTTCATTATTCATTTTTACTCTTGTAAAATTTTTTGTGGAGGTAGATACACACATAGCTGAGTATGTGGTGGGATTGATAGACAGGATTGGTATAGACCAAGGACTGCAATGGTTGGGAGATACTTCCTGTAGAGATGTCCTTTTTTTTTTTTGGTTTTTACGAGACAGGGTTTCTCCATATTGTTTTGGAGGCTATCAGTCCAGCCTGGCCTCGAACTCACAGAGATCCGCCTGCCTCTGCCTCCCGAGTGCTGGGATTAAAGGCGTGCGCCGCCACCGCCCAGCGAGATGTCCTTCTTTGTAGGTGGCCTTGATTCCATGTAAAGATTGCCACAAAGTGTCAGCAAACTCCTATTGAGAACATATGAACGTGTTCTCTGGTTTGAGACACAGTAAAACAACAGAAGAACTAATAGATGGTTTACATGCCATATGTCTGAACATTTCGGCCACATTGCTGTGAAGGTGGCACTAGGTTAATCTTTGAGCACTATTCTTTCAAAATGCAGTGAGATAGGAAATGATATGTGGAAGAAAGTCCAAAGGCCTTGATGCAATCTAGAATTAGGTTTACTCCCCTACAACAAAGTAGCAGCAGAGACTCAGGCAAAATGACATTCATTTCTACATTAGCAACAAATTCCAGGGATCTAGCGTAACTCCAAAGAAGTTATTTTTCAAAACAACCACTGTCCTTCTCAGTGTAAGAACTCATCACAACATGCATCCACAGGTTAAGGACTAAGGCAACTGTAATGAGTAAAGCACAAGACTGACTACTATTAATGGGACAGCAATAAACATGGTTAAGAAAATGCTTTGAGTATATGTCTGATGGGAGATGTCCTTTTGTATATGTGTTTCTCTTATTGGTTGATGAATAAAACTTGGCCAATAAGGCAAAGTGGGATGAGGAGATGAGGAGAATTCTGGGAAAGGTAGGCAGAATGAGATGCCATGTGAGACCAGGAAGAGGGGATGTGCCAGGTGTTCTCCAGTAAGCCATGACCACATGAAAATACATAGATGAATAGAAATGGGTTAATAATTAAGATAGAGTTAGCCAATAAGAAGCCCAAGCCACCGGCCAATAGTTTTAACTAATATAGTGTCCATGTGTTCATTTGGGGCAGAAGTGGCTGTGGACTAGGTGGGACCATGCTGGAAAGAACCTCTTCAACATATGCCCCAGATTGGTATAGCTGGTAGATAGAGTTGAGGTAGACCAATTCCCATCTTCCTGATTAACCACCACACTGATTTCCATACTGGCTGCACAAGTTTGCATTGCCAGCAGCAATGGAAGAGTGTTGCCCTTACTCCACATCTTCACCAGCATGAGCTATCATTTGTCTTATTGATCTTAGCCATTCAGACAATTGTAAGGTGAAATATGAAAGTAGTTTTGATTTGCGTTTTCCTGCTGACTAACAATGTTGAACATTTCCTGTATGTGTTTCTCAGTCATTTGAGTTTTCCCTAATTATTTGATTAAATCAGTACCTCATTAAAAAAAAAAGAAATGGCAGGATAGCCATATTTTTAAGGGGATAATATGTATCCCATTAATGAATACATTTCTAAGATTTCACTACCAGTTAAAAAACAAAACTAATACACTTTTTCCTTTAAAAAGGCAAGGACTTGTGGAAAAAGTAAAATGTATATAGTAGTTTTAGAAAAAAAGGAATCACACTGGAAAGGAAAATTCCAACTCTGAGTTAGTAAAGTTTGTAGGTGAAGCCTCAGTTAGGTATGAAAGTGACACATTTCTATTAGGTTTTTATGTGAAACTCAACTGACTAGGAAAAAAACTAGTCAGTGGGAAAAGAGGAGAAAGGCTCCCACCCACATACACACGGACACTGAAACTTACTGCCATCGGGTTTTATCCTTCAAGGAGTTTTTCCTGGAGCCAGCCCCTTCACTGGAGCTGTCCTCCTCCTCCATCTCCAAGCTTCGACTGCAGCTCCGGATGATTTGAAAGATGCTGTTGACTGTGGACTCCTTCTCTGTGTTCTTCAAGCCATTCTGTCCCACTCGTTGTAAGAAGTTATCTTGTCCACTGTAATCAGCCACAAACTACAGGAGAGAAGTTCAAGATTGCACTGTTGCAACTTAATATGTCTAAATAACCTACTTGGCTAGGAGACCTTAATCATAATAGCGGTAACAGCATCTGTGCCTATTTTACTGAACGAAGACAAGAGGCTCTAAGGAAAGCTTTTATTTCCTATTTGTTTTCATCCTACCACATGAAACCCCAAAACTTGCTCTTTCCTTGCTGTGACAATCTCAGCACCTCTAGGAATCTAAACTGCACTTTGAATTTATAACACTAAAAGCAATATTATCTCATGGCTCCCTAGGGACAAGGTTAACCACTTTAGAGAGAAGGGCAGTTATTTTATTCTTGCAGTGGGAACTGAGAAGAGAGCCATGATTAAAGATCACCGGGACATGGAACAAGATGAAGTGACCCGATTCAAGGGAAACATTTAAAAGGCTGCCTTTTGGCCTTCTTGTCCATATGGGCTACAGGAGGACAGTAGCTTACTTGGTGTTTTTCAAGCTACTATTGTAACTTGACCTTGATCAGGAAGCTTCTGGAATCAGAGTGAAGACCCACAGCTCAGTCAAGAGAGGCAGTGCTCCTTCTTCACCACAGGGAGCAGAGGAAAGAGGAAGGTGGGAGGCTTTTTAAAGTCTTCTCTTTCGTTTATTGGATGTTTAATACCAGCTGCTAAAACCAAGGAAATATTAGCCAGTGTGTGTCACCTCTGCCTATTGGGGCTCTCAAGTCTTCCTGAACCCAGTGATGTCCCTGTTCTCATGTGATACAACATAGGCTGCAATTTTATGAGTCTTCCCACTTCAACGAAGGATTATGTGCATGTGTGCAAACATTTGTGTGTGTGTGTGCGCGCGCACACACACGCGCTCGCGCGCTCATGCGCACATGTCTGAAGGTTCAGTATTGAGAGTTGTCCACACTGAAGAGAAAGTGAATGACCCTGGAATTGGGCTTGAGCTTTCTAAATACACAATGCCTCAAATACCTCCCTAACACTTTTATTTAGTTTTAAACACTTCAGAGAGAGGTTTCTTTATTTATCTTGAGCCTCTTAGTACCCCTTACTCAGTGTGCAATGTCTTTTGAGTTAAAGCTTACACAGTCCTCTCCACTTTGGCAGAAGTCTAGAGCAGAAGCCATGGGCCTAGGAGAATGGGGTGAGGGCCAGAGCCTCTGTGTCTGGATGAGGCACCCGTTTCCTTGGCATCTTCTTACAAGTGTGACAAGAAAGCTCTTTCTCCACTCCTCCACCCACTGATTTGGAAGTTGTTGCTCTTGCTTGACTTCATTCTCTGAATCTAGAGAGTTCTGCCCAATAGAAAAAACTTACCAACTTTTAAAATGAAAACAACAAAAATCCAATGACACCTTCCCTTTGTGCTCAACAGTGTCATATTAAACCCAATGTAACAATACTGAGTTCCAAACAGTGGGCTTTACTTTCTCCAGAACTTTCAAGGACCTCCTCACTGCCCAGCAACAGCATAGCAAGGATTACTCTGGGCTCGGGATGTGATTTTCTGCAGTACTACCGAGTACACGAGGCCCAGGAGGGCCTCTTGGGGGCTGCCCGCTTGAGGACACTCACTTCCAGAGCAGCTTCTTGGGAGCTGTACCGCGGGCAGAGCTTCAGCAGGCCAGAGGCGCCATCAAGCACCTCACAGAGCTCCTTCAAGAACACACCACAGAAGGGGACCACCTTGCAGCCGGGGATGTGCAGGGCCCGAGTCACCACCTTCTTGTACTCCAGGGAGGACTCGTGCTGAGCCATGGCATCCTTCAGGCTCCGCATGGTCTCAATGTCAGACTGATCCATGAACTGCCACATCTTTAGAACTTTCCTTGACCTATTGCAAGAAAATGACATTTTTTTAAAACTTGGAGGAATGACAATGTAGCTTACGGTATTACAGTATGTAGGTTGAATTCCGTACACCTTCACTGTCTTTTACTTTCTTAGTGTTTTTTTCTGTTATTATTTATTTAAAATAAAAGACGAAGTTAGGGTAAAGGCACTTGTTGCACAAGTCTGAGGATGTGAGTTGGAGCCTGGAATCCAAGTAAACATGGAAGGAGAAAACTAACTCCATAAAGTGGTTCTCTGACCTCTGCATGCATACCCTCCACATAAGTCATGCCCACGATAATAAATTTAAAAATTAAATAGGACAGACTCAAAAAGAAATAAGGCTAATTATCAAAGCTGAAAATTATATGTTGACTAGAGTGTCCTGGTAGTTGTCAGCAAGAGGAAAACAAGGTTGATAATATTTATGTCAAATGACTATTCTTCAAAGGAGGCAAGAAAATGCCTTGTTCTGTGCAAATATGAGTGAACATGGCCCAGAAACACAGGCTCCTATTTCTCTGAATGACATGCCCCATCATGGAATAGGTTACATGAACTTTTATAGTCACCAAACAAAATAAACTCATACATCAGTACCTATTGCTGGGAAGTACCTAGCAGGTAGGTGGGATGGACAAAGTAGAGAAATCTATTCTTCAGACTTCCAATGCTATCTTATGGCATTCTTAGCTTCAGGGCTGGTGAAGGATAGAGATCTGTGAAGCTTAGTAGCGCATTCCAAAAGCTTTACCTAAGAGTCACCTCAGTGTTAGGGGTTGACAATAAACAGATATAAAAGAGACTAAACACAGCCAAGATAAGTGATGACTCTTGATTTGAAATATCTCTCCTCTCCAATCAGTCAGCATGTTCTGGTTAGCCAAGGTCAGTCTACTGGATCCTTAGTACAGATGTGGCTACTTCAGAGAACTTCAGTTCACAGTAACATGCTATTCTAGACAGCTTTAATGTTAATGTGACACATCTGAGAGGATACTCTTGAAAGATAAATTGTCTGCATCAGATTCATCTGTGGGGGACTGTCTTATTGCTAATTGATGTAAGATGGTCCAGCACTCCTGTGGGCAACATCATTCTCTGAGCTGGTACAATAGTAGCAGAACTGTTAGAGGAGCAACCAACCACTTTCAGGTTGGATTTAAGGCTCACTCCATGAGATGGAACCTGTACCTGGTACTGTTAAAGGAGCCAAGATCCAGTGACTAGATATATGTCATGCATCCTAGGAGAGAACCCAGTAGTATTATTTTGCTAAAGGGACACAATAATAAAATGACTCCTAATGATGTATTCCTGTACCCATAGGTCAGAGCATCTCTAAAGCCTCATCAAAGAGTTCTTGTAGTAGATGATAGTTAGCACAGAGATCTTGAATTGATCAATATGCATAGAATTAGAGAGACTGTATAGTGCTTATCCCTAGAGGGCATACACATCATACCCCTCCTCCCAAAGTTCATGGATCTTCATCAAAGAGTGAGTAAAAATATTGTAAGAGCTAAAGGTGGTAGATAAAGGAAACTGTCAGATAAAACTGCCCAGATAAAATAGGGCAGTTATACCTGTGAACTCTCAGCAATTGTGATAGCATGTGTAAGAGCTATGCGTGTCCCAGCCACATAAAATTCCCAGCATAGAGATTGGAAAGCAGACCCAAAATCCCATCACTAGCTGAGGAGGTAATGGTATTTGTTAGCAACTGTGAGAGGGAAGTCAGTTTTCTTTAATACTGTGAACCCTGGAAAGCTGACCACAATCTAGGGCAGACCCCACTCCCCTTACCATAGGATAAGCCAAAGAAGAAGGAGTAGAGGGAGGAGGAGGAGAAGAAGAAGGAGAAGAAGGGAAGAAGAAGAAGAAGAAGAAGAAGAAGAAGAAGAAGAAGAAGAAGAAGAAGAAGAAGGAGAAGAAGAAGAAGAAGAAGAAGAAGAAGAAGAAGAAGAAGAAGAAGAAGAAGAAGAAGAAGAAGAAGAAGAAGAAGTCGTCTAAGTAGAATGGGAAGGGATGGGAGGGTGAGGAGGGTGGTTATTGGAGGAGTTGGGGAAAACAGATGGATATATTCAAAATACATTGTATGAAATTCTCAGAAAATTATAAAAATATTGCTTAAAAAAGCTAAGTATAAGACTAGGATTAAGTCAGCAAGGAGCATTCCTCCCAGGTTTCTGCTCCAAGTTCTTGTTGGAGTTCCTGCTCTGATTTCCTTCCAAGATGGACTTATGACCTGGGAGGGTGATCCAAATAACCCCTTTCCTCCTCTGAGTTCCTGCCCTGATTTCTCTCCATGATGGACTTATGACTAGGAAGGGTAATTCAAATAACCCCTTTCTTCCTTTGAGTTGCTTTTGCTCAGAGTGTTTTTTTTTATCTCAGAAACAGAAAGAAAACCAGAGCACTTGGCTTGTGTAAATATTTCTGAGACTTTGTCCACAGAAAGTGTGTTCTAGATGTCCCTCCTGATCTTTGAGTTCCTTGGTGGTATAAAAGAAGCCTGCTAGTATGGACTTTCGTGAGGAACAGCTTTTTACAGAACGAAGTTTGACGTTAGCTCCACCCCATCTGGGGACCTTGTCTTGAAGCATGATTTGCATAACAACATGTTAAATGGAATTTCTCCCACTTGGAAAGTGCTGCTGAGACCAACAGCTGGCAGTCTGAAGAGAGATGCCATGTCATCATGAGGGGGTGTCTAGACTGCTCTCAGGGGTTTCTTGTCTTCCTTCAGTGCACACACACAGGAAAGCTAGATTCAAGCAGACAGTTGGAAATATTCCTATACAGAGTATTGTGAGAGGGCTTATGTGAAAAGCACAAACTTAGCCTCAGTGGAGGGGATGTCAAGTGGACTCCTTGGACATTCATCTGCAGCAGTTGCAGATGCAGCATCTAGCATCTGGCTAGAGTTGCCCACTGGCCAAGGGAGAGATGGCTCTGTAGATGTTTTCTGCCTTTGTTAAGTTGACAAGTCAGTGGGGATGTCTCTCTTGAGTCCAGAGTAGACAATGTGGAAGGAGCTTGGCCTGAGCTATCTTGAAAAGCCTGTCTTTCAGATGAGGTGACCCTAAAACCTATGAGAGAGGACCCTAGAACTAGACCTAAAGCCTGAGTATTGAGTGATCACCACACTTTGACAGATACTATATTAAATATGAAATATGCCTCACAGACTCATGTTTAAACCTTTGAGGGGATTCCTGTCTCCTGATGGGGGTACTATTTTAGAGGGTTTTAGAAAGTTTAGGAGGAAGTGGTCTAGCTAGAAGAAGGCCACTGGGGGCAGGTCCTTGGGGAGAATGCCTTGACCTTGAGCCTTCCCGGCTTCTCTCTCATTTCCACCATGACCACAGTGAGGGAAAGACCCTCCACTACACATTCCCAACGTCATCATACTCTACCCAGGCATCAGTAGTCAACCAATCATGTGTGGCAAACCTTGAAACCATGAGCCAAAAATAGCCATTTGCTCCTTTAAGTTGACCTCTCATTCGACACAGTGATGAGAAAGCGAATCCACTAGATAACCATGCAGGGAGAGACCCTGACAAAGCAAGCAGGTGAGCAGGCAGGGAGTCACTGGGAAGGCTCTCTAGCATCATCCACATCTACGTCTGTGAGGGTAGAGATGATTACAACCAGCCAAGTAGGACTTTTAGCTCCCTCAACACCTGTTCCCTCCTTTCCCTATTGACCCCCCTCCCCATTCCTGCCCCCTCCCTTCCCTCCCTCTCCTCTCCTCTCCTCTCCTCTCCTCTCCTCTCCTCTCCTCTCCTCTCCTCTCCTCTCCTCTCCTCTCCTCTCCTCTCCTCCTCCTTTGAGGGTCCAGGGCTGTGGAATTGGAAGAAAGGAGTGTATTTCCCCTTCATGATCACTACCAATTGCAAACCTTGGTAAATGTGGCTGGCTGCCCAGGGAATTAATTCAGAGATATCTAACTAGAAAGAGACACATGTCCAGATCGCCATACTTTCTTACCTGAGGCCAGCCAGGAACTCCATGACAGCGTTGTAGTTGCCCATGTTCCAGCAGCATTTGGCCACGTGAACCAAATATGAGAAGACTTCTCGCTTTTCCTCCATGGAGCCTGCTGTGAGGATCAGCCATGTCACCCAGGAGCTCACCTGGAAGATGGGGAGTGGGCATTCACTGAAGATAAGTCCTGAAAGCTTGATAGGTAACTTTTTTTTTGGTTAAAAATATCAGTTTGGGACCTGGAAAAGAAGCAAGCAAAGAGCTCTAATGTGAAAACCAGCTCCGTTGCTGCTTTGATATGACCCTGGCCAAGTCAACCTGTCTGCATCTTCTCATCTTGAAATAAAATTCCCCTTGATATACATGATCCCTTGAAACTCTAAAAAATACAAGGCCCACGGTTGCTCTTGATGGAATGTGGCTGATGGACATGAAGAATAAATGCAGTCAATGCATTTAGCCTATAAATTGAAAATATTTATCAAGCAATCAAATGTGTGATATCAGGGGTGGTAAGATGGCTAAGCAAGTAGAGGCACCTGCCATCAGGGTTTGACAAACTGATTTTCATCCCTGGTACCAACGTGGTGGAAAGAGAGAATACAATTTCTAATGTTGTCTTCTGATCTCCACATGCTCTCCACGGCATGATCTTGTACATGTGCACAGATGCATACACATGCATACACATGCATACACACATAGGCATATGCATAAATAAATAAAATTGGTGAGGCCAAACAAAACATATAAAAACATTTGGAACAATCTTTTTTTCTTTTTTTAAAATTTAAATTAAAAACAATCTTATTTTACATACCAATCCCAGTTCCCTCTTCCTCCCATCCTCCTATGCTCCCCACCAACCCACCCATCCCATACCCCTTCTGCTCCCCAGAGAGGGTGAGGCCTTTCATGGAGGATCATCAAAGTCTATCATATCATTTTCGGCAGGACCTAGGCCCTCCTACATGTATCTAGGCTAAGAGAGTATCCCTCTATGGGGAATGGACTCCTAAAGTCCATTCATACACTAGCGATAAATACTGATCCACTACCAGAGATCTCATAGACTACTCAGGCCTCCTAGATGGCACCCTCATTCAGAGGGCCTGGTTCAGTTGGAACGATCTCTTACACATACTAATTTATAATGGTCTTTAAATGACAAAAAAAAATAGAAGCGTAAACATACTTCTGCACCAGGAGCCATTCTAAGTACTCTGACTATAATACTTCACTTGTCTCCCACAACAGTTCCGAGTCAGGGGTGGTTAGTACCCAAGAGGCTTGCTGAAGATCCTCAGCCAATAGGTAGCGAAGGCTTGCCTTAGACTAGGGGTTGCCATTTGATGGCCTGCACCATAGAGACCTCATCACTGAGTGAGCACACACAAAATCTCATGTTTGCTGACTCTAGGATTACATTTTTCTAGTGTGATTTGTTTTTTTTCTACCACAGAATCTAGAGTGTAAAATGTAGTAATTCACATCTACATCCCTTTTATGCCATTCAGTGTTTACGTGATCTCTTTCTGCTCTAAGATTATTTTACTATTGTTCATTCTGGTGCTTTGGTGCTTGGCCATTGCTGTTCAAGTCAGCTTGCCTTCTCCACCCAGGCCAACTCATGGGAGGGTGACCAGTTGTCTGTTGTTGACCATATTAGTTGCATATGGGCCAACAACAGAGCTGAAACCTAAGGAACAACTCTTTCTTCAGCCTGTGTGAAAAGAGGCTTGAACGGAGTTCATGGTGACCCAAACATCTGAGGAAATAGAAGTTCAAGGCAGAGGACACACTGCCCACAAATGGAAACAATAAGAATTAATGACATTTAGTGTCCGCAGCAACCATCGAGAGATGTCCAATGGCAGTTTTTCAGATCTGGAATCCATGGCATCCCCAGCATCACAACCAAAACCAAAGAAATGAAACAAAGCCAAGAATGAAACAAACAAACTCTTAGTATAGTGGTCTTATTTAACGATGGAAGGTGACAATTTGTTTACATCACAATTTCTTTCCTGGGTGGATCCTCCTAAGCACTCAGTTTGGAGTAGTACATTTAAAGACAGACATAATTAAAGAAAAGCACACCATGAACTGTAACTCCAAGATAATGAAAGAAAAACCATCACCAACGAAACCCAAACCAAACCCCAATGTAGAGGACAGATGCTCAGCACCTCCTTTTTAACCTCTGCACAGAAACAAGTTGGTGGCAATGGAGCCGGGTAGTGATGAAATGGGACTATTCTCTGACGGTTGGTGCACTGGAGTAAGAAACTGCTGATTCCTTTCTGAAACTGGCTGGAGCAAAACCTACTACACCAATACCCGGGAGGCTCTGGGTATGCTCTGTTATCTCCTTGCTCCAGAGGATGCCTGCCCCATGCAAAACCAGAACAGACCTGGAATCAGCCCTTCCCATCATTCTAGGAATTCTCTGGGGTTCTCAGAGCTGAGCTCTCCGGCAGCTGCAAAAAATCCACTGCTTGGTCTCCAAGCCTTGTTTCCTCACCATTTAATAGACATTTCATGAAACCTTGGCCCTGATGGACCAAGAAGATATTTGTGCCAATAGAGACTGGCCGTGGTTTGGTGCTACTAGCCAATTCTTCCTTTAGCTTGGTTTGCTTTTGATGGACCTTAACCTAGAATGGGAACTAAATCAAATTTTTCTTTAGAAGTTCAAATGGGATCCTGAACACTTAAGAGTGGTTCCTCAGAGTCACCCAGCTCCTGCCTGAGGTCAAGGGTTGTCTGAGTCCCATGGCTTTAGGACCTTTGATGCTGAAAGTCACTGTAATATTCTGACTATTCTTCTGTCATGTAGTGAATGGAAAGGGTTAACCTCCAACCAGGAGAGGCTCCTCCCAGAGCAGCACAGACCACCATTTGCTTGTGTCTCAGTCCTGATCACGCACATGCCCACAGATTTATTTCCTATCAGTCAAATCATTTCCCACACGCTTTCCCACATGCTAGGGAAAAAATAGCAATACCGTATTTCACATGGAAACATAATTTAAACCAACTGTTCCATCCTTGAGTGTGAGTCCCTAGGGCCCCTGGTTGTTGAGATTATATATGCACTGTTATCATAATCTCTTTCTCTTTCTAATACGCGCGCGCGCGCACACACACACACACACACACACACACTCTCTCTCTCTCTCTCACACACATAGACCACATCAGCTTACAATTTTTGTGAGAGCATAGTGTATTTATAATTTTATTGGTGCTAAGTGGTGAGAGTGTTAACAATTAAACAAAATAATTGAAAGGGAAAAAAAGGAGGAAAATTTTGGTGGTGTCAAATGTTGCCCACAACATAAATGGCAGTTATACTTAACAAGTAGAGATGACAGGTGCTGCCATGTCAGAAAGTTTCATGATATTAGCCACAAAGGAAAACATGAAAACACACACACAGTGCTATTACTCTACTATAGGGAGCGCCCAGAGCCCAGAGCCCAGAGCACAGGGGTGTTACCTGTAGGAGAGTATTTTGCTTAATGTGAATGGTCAGCATTAGTAAGCAGAGAATAAGATTCTTGGCCCAGTTCATATATACATAAATGTATGATTTATTGATTGAGTTATTTATATGTGCCTGTCTATGTGAGTTTCTCCTTGTGTATACACATTGGATAGAGTTAGCAGGCATTCCAGGACTCATGGTTATGCAAAAAACACTCCCCACCGCTAAGCCATATTTCCAGCCCCTCAGTTTAAGAGCTTGTTCCAGAGGGTTGGGTTTTATTCTGATAATCTTAACCCCTGAACCCACAGCTTCTCTACAATTGCTCCTTTCCAATTATATCTTCCCTCCCTCCCTCCCTCCCTCCCTCTCTCCCTCTCTCCCTCCCTCCCTCCCTCCCTCCCTCCCTCCCTCCCTCCCTCCCTCCCTTCCTCCTTCCCTTTCTCTGTCACTCCTTGTCTTTGTTCCTTCCTTCCAGACTTTTTCCCCTCTTACCTTGGAGGTTGACTCCAGAGGATTGCACATGCCAGACAAGCACTCCACCACAGGCTTACATCCCAGCCATTCTTTATTTTGAGACAGAGTCTCAACTCAGTAAGTTGTCAAGCTGTCCTTGAACTGAGAATCCTTATGCCTCAACCTTCCCAGCGGGTATAGTTTTAGTGCAGCATGATTTTCATCACCATTGCCATTCTTATCGTGCCCCTTTCAGTACTTGTAGGCCTAGTCAAACTGAACATCCTGCTCTCTTCCTACATCAAGTATCATATTGGCTGCATCATAATTCAACCAGGAAAGAACGTTCTTGCAGCTTTCATATGATCTTTCTTGGTTCATTGTGTCTTGTCTCTGTCTTCTATAGAGTTGGATCCTTCTCTTGGTCCATTCTCCATCCTCCATCCATCTCTAATACCCTAGTTTTAGAGTTAAACCAGGCTTTTACCATCTTGGGGACCTTGGGATGCTGCTATTTCTATGGAAGGCTCCCCCATGCCCAACTTATTAGCTCGTGTCTAGTTATCCTTTAGGAAGAACTTTCCCTAGACCTGTCATCAAGATCTTACCTCTGGGACCCACACCTCAGAAGGGGCCTCACTGATCCTTGTCCAGCTGTAGTCCCTCTAGTGAGAGGTCTGTGGGTAAAGAGGATATGACTATCCACAGGCTGCACACCCACTTTCTAGATCCTCCTCCTCTGTAAATCCAGGCTTCCCACATTCAATGACCAAATGGTACCAAGTCCATTTCCATGTCCACAAACAGCTTTTATATGTCTCAGTCCTCCTGACTGTAGACCGTAACGATCATGGGTGGCAGTGGCCATGTGGACAGACTTGAACTAGAGATCTGAAATGTCCATTTACTGGTATACAAGTTAAGATGGCAGGATTGGGGAAGCTAATAACCCAGAATTATTTTGTTCTTGTGCCCTAGGCCCCAAAAGGAAGAGACAGACCTTGCCTTTAGGAACCTGACAGAGACATCACTGTTTTTAAGTCTTCGCTGACTCCCTTTTGGACCACGTGTACATGCTCTGGTGCCTCGCGCCACCTGATCCCAGTGCGTGTTTGGTGTTGTGTCCCCATGACGGCAGATGTTGAGCCTGCTGTATTTACAGTAAGTAAACATCTCAGTGACTAGCTGAGATCTACCTTCTGT